CCGGGCCTTCGCGTTATTGAACTTGGATTGGATTCGTTGATTAAAAAAACAGATAAGAGAAGGTAAATGGTGAAAGTTGCATTCAAGATGAGATTCTAAGTGAGGTCCGAGCTGTCTACAAATCGAGGAAAGTCCTCGAAAATATAAAATTAAAATATATATATATATATTAGAATCCAAATTACCGGTTCGAATATATGTTCGTTAAAAAGTATTTTTATTCGAATTTTCATTTCAGCTCTAATTTTAATAAAACTGTATAACATATCGAAAGTAAACTCAGTCATTTTGATGAGCCCTGGTTATAGACGAAATGCCCAATCGGCACTGGATATGGCAGGCTTAATGTAGTGTACATATTATAACATTCTCCTTTGTTTTAACTCATAGGTTCTTAAAATTAAATGACCGGAAGAAGTTTCTAGAAATATCCAAAACGAACGAACATATTTACTGAAAATAGAAATAAGTATTTTTACAGATTTTCGATAAATATTTGTAACATACTCACACTTCGAAAACGGAATACGATTTTAATACATATTAAACAAACACCTACCGGCGTAACTAGCGACAAAGACAATACGTCCTTTTCCGGCACGTAGGAGTGGTAGGAAAGCCTTGGTTAAGCGCATTGTTCCAAAAACATTAACTTCAAACATTCGCTGGACTTCACTTACAGGACAAAACTCCTGTTCAGCGAACGTTGCCACCCCGGCGTTGTTAACCAATGCCCAGAACTGAATATCTAAAAAAAATTAGACATTTCAAATTAACTATTAGCATTAGCTAAAGTACAAGCAATTTTTTTCAAGATAATGTAGGCAAAATACGTTATACTGGCGTCGAAACAAAGATTTTAGCCATGTCTTAATGGCGTGTATATTACATAAAGGTAGCATGTGAATAATGGTGCCATTCCACAAAAGGAAGAAGATCGTATAAATAATGAATCATAAAATGAATTATTTCTGCAGTTTTCTTTCACCAATTCCCCTCCTTTTTTCAGCAGTTACTAAAAGTTTCCTTCACAGAAGTGTTACATATTGTACAGTTACATGTTGTACAGAATTTCTGTTACATTGTGATAACATATAACCTCACACAATGTTACATGTTGTACAGTATTTCTGTCACACTGTGATAACATATAACCTCACACAATGTTACATGTTGTACAGTTACATGTTGTACAGAATTTCTGTCACACTGTGATAACACATAACCTCACACAATGTTACATGTTGTACAGTATTTCTATCACACTGTGATAACACATAACCTCACCAACAATAATAAAGTCATGTGTTAATAAAAAAGTAAAAACCCCTTCATATAATTGTGATTATATAGTTACAATTTGGGACGGTTGAACAACCTGTATTGAAACTGTAAACAACTCTTTACCGTTATAACTGATCATTATCAATCATTTTACATCGCATTAAAACGTTTAATAAATATAACAAAATAATACAAACCTGGTTCTGAACAACAACAAAGAACATAATAACTATTAGTATTTTAAAATACACAACAATAATCTAAAACTAAAGAACATAAATAGCTCAATGAACACCAGTTTCACAGTAAGTCAGGCTGAATACAAACGTTATATTTTTGAAACTAATTACTAGATGTACTTCCGCGGCGTCCCTGAAAGTATTCTGTTTCAAGAGTAAATAAAACTAAAATTACACGCCCCCTACAATATAAAAAGAAAATAACAGGCTAAAACATTTTTAAAGACAGAAACTACTTTCATTATTTAGCAGGCATACTGTCTAAATCTATTTCAAAAGAATATTCAGGAATTACATGTACATAACATCAAACTGTGGGATAAAAAAAAACACTCACTGTGGTCGTCTAAGTGTGTTTTAACGTGCTTTGCTGTTTCTGACACCATCTTCTCATCAGTTACATCCAACTCGACAATTTCCAACCGATCAGAACAACTAGACCTTAGTTTCTGAGCGCCATTATCTGTCGGTTTTAGGCAACCAGCAAAAACATGAAATCCAAGTGAGTCGAGACGTTTTGCCAGTTCGTGACCAAATCCAGTGTCGCATCCTATAACATGGAACAGAAAATTATTATAGTAAAATACTACAGTAACGTGTGAGTAATTATGACAGTACTATAGCAACGTGTGAGTAATTATAACAATACTCTAACATTGTATGATTAACTATAACAATACAGTGGCAATGTGTAAGTAATTATAACAGTACTATAGCAACGTGTAATTATAACAATACTCTAACATTGTATGAGTAACTATAACAATACAATGGCAATGTGTAAGTAATTATAACAGTACTATAGCAACGTGTGAGTAATTATAACAATACTGTAACACTATATGAGTAACTATAACAATACAATAGCAATGTGTAAGTAATTATAACAGTACTATAGCAACGTGTGAGTAATTATAACAGTACTATAGCAACGTGTGAGTAATTATAAAAAGTACAATTTAAAATGATATTCTATTACTTTCAACCTAAAAATGTTTACTAAGCGGTTCTGAATGTTTTTAAATTCGTCATAAAACGTCTACAAGTTTGTGGTTAAAGATGATGATGAGTGATGAACTCAAGCTTGCGTAGACGACCACCAGTATGTAGGTTGACGTGATCCAAAAGAAATGAGCAATGGAGAGTTTAAATTTACTTTAGAAAAACTTCTAAGTCCTAAAGTTTATAAGCACACGCGTATAGTTGAGCCTCGAATACCGAAATATTGTATTACTCAACTTATTATTTATTTCAGACATTCATAAACATCTTGATTTATTTCTATAATTTCTTCCTTTCTTGTTATTCTTTTTTTCCTTTCGTACAGAACGCTAAAAGATTGCACTTGTAGGCTGTGTCAGTTTGATTGTTTGTTGTTTAGTACAAAGTACACATTGGGCAACTGTACTGCTCCTACCTCAGGTATGGAACCCGATTTTTTAATATTTTTTTTTTTGCGTTATAAGACTTCACAGTTTACCGCTGAGCTACATGGGGGGGGGGGGGGGGGGGGATATTATTTGTTTGTTGAATTTCGCGCAAAGCTACTCGAGGGCTAGCTGCGTGAACCGTTTGTTTTGAAGTTAAGCACAAAGCTACACAGTGGGCTATCTGTGTTATGCCTACCACTGGTGTCGAAACCCGGTTTCTAACGTTGTAAGTCCGCAGACATATCACTGTGCCACTGGGGGGGGGGGGGGGGAGCGTGAGCCTTCCCTAATTTGGAAGTGATAAACTAGAGGAAAGACAGCTAACCAACACCACCTACCGTCAACTCTTTGTCTACTTATTTCCAACTAAACGTGGAATTAAACGTACCATTATAACGTCCCTACGACTGAAAGGGCGAGTATGTTCGATGACGGGATTCGAACCCCGCGATCCGCGGATTGGGAGTTGAGTGCCAGGTAATGCTAGGTCAACGTGGGGTGTGAGATAAATATTATATTAGAACTGGCACTACAATAACCAACAGTATCGAGTTACCTTCCCATGCATAACCTTGCGATTCCTCGCAATTATCTATAAATATATCACATACGTTTGTCTAAAACGCGCATCTTTTGATATCTAAACTTGTTCAATGTTATCTCTGAATATTATTTCCACGATTTAATTGTGATTTATATTTGCTCTAGGACTTTTAAAGTTTTGCCTTGTTTCCATTTTCGGCTTGACTTAATCTGTGTTGCTAGGAGACTATGATCACGTTTTTCTGTTACTAGGAGATTATGATAACGTTTTTTGTGTTGCTAAGAGATTATGATCACGTTTTCTGTGTTGCTAGGATAACGTAAAATTTAGCTTGTGGATCTGTAAAGTTATTTCAAGCGTATTTGATTGGATGTGAAAGTAGGGGAGGGGGCAGGAAGTAATGTCCTTAGACTCCCTGTTTGCCACCCATCTTTCTGAAATCTAAACTATCTGATAGTTTTTTTAGGAGTATTTCACGGACCTTCAACATTGATTGTTTATGCAACATTCTAACAAGTAACTGAACCGATAACTCTAAAAGTGAGGATGAAACGAGTGTATACGCAGGAGATTATATCTACACTTATTGATATTGGTAGAAAACCAAGTCGATTATTATATCTACACTTATTGATATTGGTAGAAAACCAAGTCGATTATTATATCTAACACTTTTTGATATTGGTAGAAAACCAAGTCGATTATTATATCA